ATCTCGTGACTCAGCGATGTCGTGAAATCGAATCTCCGGGGACTCATGCTTCTCGCCACAGACGGGTCCGCTGCCAACGCCTCGATCTCCAATATAATATGAAAGTAGGTATTTTGAATTTTTCGCGAATTAAACGAGCCGTAACGAGCCACGCCTAGCTATAGCTTCGTGCCTTCCTACATTTCTTGTTAAAGATCGATTTACTAATATTTTGATATCTTTAAGATTGGAACGAATGTTGACATGAACGATCGGTCCCAAATGATTTAAATTTTTCGATGGAAAATAAGCTTTCGATAGCCTTCAAAATATCTTTATACCAGTTTAAACACAATAAGAACACAATAGATTATAATATTACAATAAGATTTTGTTCCTGATAATCCAAGTATAAATCGTCATTCGAATGTGATACATTATTACAATATAATAATAATAAATTGATAAAAATTATAATAATATCGTTTGATCGGTCATACTACTTGCAGTATAGATATCTTATAAAATTCTGATTAAGCTCAAATATATAAACTCGAATGTCATTTCATACCTCCTTAAAATATCTCTTCCTGCTGGTGCCCAGGAAACCGTGCAGCAATTTACTATCTACGCCAAGCAACAATTAATCAGCGAAGTCCTACCTCACTAAAAATAATACCCTAATCGTAGATTCGCAAAACTTCAATATCAGAAACGTTGCTTCCTTTCATAAGCGATCAACAAGTTGAATATAACTGAAACCCCGTTAATAAAGCGATGAAAGTGATAAATCGCGACGCAAGCCTCCTCGTCTACCCCCTCCTAACTACCCCCCTATACCCTCCACCCTCTCACCGAGCACCGTATTGCGTTATTAAAACTTTACTAATGGGCAATAATAAGCACTGCCGCTCCGAGATTGATATTAAATCATAAACTGGCTCGTTACCATTTATCATTATCACGATACGGGCCATTGCCGTAGGCCTTGACTTTTTTAATTCTTATTTTTTTTTTTTTGTTTTTTGCAGATTTCTGTTGAATTTTGACGAGCACTATATATAGGTACTCCAAAGTATATCCTTCTAAAATGTTTTCCATTAAATTGCGTATACGGAATTCATATTTTTCTTCATTTTACTTTTTTTTCTCTTCTTGAATAATCAAAGTCCTGTTTTCCAATTTCAGTAGAAAGAAGAATAAACCGATCTGTAAAGAGAAGATAAAAAATTAAATAAAATATTTTTTGGATTAAGAAGTTTTTCCGAAATTATATATATATTATATATATATATATATATATATATATATATATATAAATATATATTTTTCTTAGATGTCAGATAACAGCTTGAAAACTCAAAAGTTTCCCCCAACGATAAGATAGTGTACACTCATAAGAAGCCAGTAGGCTCTCATGGGTGATCTCACGATAATCGTCATTCTGAAGATCACATTCGTTCGGTAGCAAAGAGAAATAGGATGAGAAGGAAGAGAGTGGGAGGTGGATAGAAAGGGAGGCAGACGTCGTGACGACTAAGCTCTCGCGCTTCCAAGGGTGGGCTGTGGGTGTAAAAGGGGGTGTCATGCCGGCGGACCGGGAAAAGTGATTGATTGTGTTTCGCCGGAAGAGAAGAGGAGAAGGATCGTTGCGGAGAGAGAGAGAGAAAGAGAGGGGGAGGAAAAGAAGAGAGAGAGAGAGAGAGAATTGCTGTAGTAAGAGAGAAAGAAAGGAAGAAAGACAGAGACAAGAAGGGATGGAGGATGGACGGTGATGGAGGTGGTGGAGTTGGTGGTAGTGGTGGTGGTGGCGGTGAGGAAAGGGAGAAGGATAGAAGTTCGTGAGCGTCGACGGTGATAGAGACGAAGAGGTCGAGCCGCAAAACGAGGAGACAACGTCCAATCCCACCTCCTCTCGAGCTACCCCTCGAAAGCATCCCCCTCTAACTCTTCGCATCGACTACGTCGTCGGACGTAGACCGAAGAAGAGCTCCTCTCTCGCAGATTCCACTCGAACCGTCATCCCCCGGTTTCTCTTCTCGAGGGAGCCACATGAAGTAGCCATAAGAAAAATAGAAATACGCCGAGCGACGTATATGCCGGGTAAAGGAAAAACTCAGTCGTGAGAAGAGCCAGCAGAAAAAGCAGGTGACGTGCTCTTAGCCCTTCCTGAATTGCCACTCGTTTCTTTCTTCTTATATTTTTCTTCTTTTTCTTTTATTGAGCCTGGAAAATGGCAAAATGTTGCTCTTGTTATCTCGTCCTACCGACTGGATCGATAAAAGCCGTTTTGTTTTTATTTTGACCGATAGAGATAGGCGAATTGATAAAACGACGAACTATAGGTAAATATGTACATTCTCGTTTTTCTTTCTTTTTCTTTTTTCTTTGTTCTTTTTTCTTTTCTTTTTTTTTTTTTTCTTTTTCTTTTTGTATGCCAGTCAAATCATGCGCAATAGTAAAAACAACCAGGATAGATTTTGACCTCGTTCAGGAACGTAATAGATTACAGTTAGCCGATAAGATAAAGAAAATACGAGAAGCGAGGAAAATGCGTGCAACTCGCAGTACCGTTTACTTACATCCTGTAAGGATTCTACCTAGCTGAGAAAGAGAGAGAGCGAAAGAGGGAGAGAGAGAGAGAGAGAGAGAAAGAAGGAGAGAAAGAGAGAGAGAGAGAAAAGAGAGAGAGAGAGAGAGAAAGACTCTGAGCGCCGGCGGCAGCAACTACGGCACGCTGCATTGTCGTGTCTCGGCAAAACACAGTGAGTGTGCTCTTTGTGTAATGACTCGGCACTTTATATCCTTCACACTTCGCAGCTGATCACAAGTAGACGTACTTGACCGAGTGCGTCGGGACACTTGTAGAGCACTAATATAAACAAAGTACGACCGACTGGAGGATCCATTACTTTCAATTTGCCTGACGTCAGCCGCCTTATGCAATAAATATTGCCGAATACGCGAACATCGCGCCTCCCTCTCGTTCCTATCTATCGATTATATCGAAAACGCCAATGGGAAGTACCTACGATTGAACAGTATGAACATTTAACATAGGATCAATGAACAAATATTCTTTTCCAATTTTAATTTTAACAATATGATTCTTAACGCGTACTAACATTTGATATAAGGAAAAAAAAAAGGAAAAATGAATTAAAGATAAATTGATAAATATATACTTATAATTAATAGAAAAGTAAAAACAGAGCTATCGAAGATATATTAATATTTGACATTTTGAAAACAATAGAAATCAAGTTACAAATGATGTAGGAATTAGATCAAAGATCGATAAAAATAATGGATAGTATCGGATAGTATCGATCAAAGAGAAGATCTGAAATATCTGAAAAGTTTTTGCAAAGACTACGAGCTGAAGGATTTCGTGAGCGAAACGGACGAAGCGTACGAGCGAAGGCGGGTTAAGATGATCCGTAGGAGTGACTCCCGTGGTAGTTAGGCCGGAGTGTGTCCCATAAGGGCACAAGATCCACGGCTTCCGTGGCAGGGGTTGGTCTCGTGCTTCAACGGAGTGGGGGTTGACGATCGTAGCGTGGGTAGGGGTGGTTAGAGGGGCGGTAGGAAGAGGGAGGGACGCGTCAGCTCGGAGTCAGCCGGCCGAAGAGGAGCTGGAGGGAGCACCGAGAACCGAAGCGAACTTGCCAGACGAGTTTCTGCCGAGGCCCGACGAGGAGACACGAGCACAGCGGACACGTCGTCGTACTTACGTCGAATGGACACGACACTCAAACGCAACGTAGACGAGATTGAACGTTTCGTGGACTTGGTATTAAACTAACCGTGTTAGGCTTTAGCGTCGTTGCTAGTGAACGTTGATCGTGCTTACGTAAGAACGTATATATTTATATATACCTGCGTCCTCTATAATTGTGTAAGAAGTAAATCGTGTAATCGAGATTATCTTGAAGTTGATATTTGGATTGGATTCGAGGGGTATTTCTTGCGTCCATTCATCCAAGTTTCTCTGATTGGCAAAAGAAGCATTAACGAAAGAAAAAAAGAAAAAGGGAAAGGAAGAAAGGACGAATCTACGGTCGAAGAGGAGAGAGAGAAGGAAGAAGTTGTAGCACCTGCCGCAGTCGGTCTCTGGCGGCGCCACTCACGTGTTGCATGCGTGCCGGGCTATCCATCATGGTCGCGGACGCGAACCGGCTCTGATTGGTCGAACAGAGCTCACGTGGTATGGTAATTGAGCTCCGGTGGGCGGGAAGGAGCAAAAGGGGCCGCGGTGGAGCCGCTCGCGGAGGATCTCAAAAGTGGCGGTAGGAGAGGAGAGGATAAGCCGCTGTCCATCGGGAGTCCGGTGCTGCTCTTCGCGGCCTCGCTCTTTTCGCTTTTTTATCTACCTCTATCTCTTTTTCTCTTTCTCTTTTTCCATCTTCTTTCTTCCCTTCTCACCATTCCTCAAAACCCTCTCCCCTTCCCTTCATCTTTTCCCAATCGTGGAAAGAGACATAGACAACTCTCTCTCTCTCTCTCTCTTTCTCTCTCTCTGTTTCTCTCTCTCTCTCTTTCTCTCTCTCTCTCTCTCTCTCTCTCTCTCTCAGTCTGTCTGTTTGTCCTTTCTTATCTCTTTTTTTCTCCTTCTGCTCTTTGTTTCTTTCCTGTTTTTCGTTCAAAAGGACAAGGCAGACAAGTAAGGAGAATGTATCGCGGTGAAGTGGTCAATGTGCAGTCGTGAAAATGTGCTCAACGTTTGAATGAAACGTTCTCAACGAAACTGAGTTGAGTGTTAGAAGAGACAGGACTAGTTTACTCTGTGAATATGTGCACGGGAATGCAAATGTCCTCATAAAAGAAGTAACGTGTTACGGTGAGAGAACATGATGTCGCTGGAACGTTCGGTATAAGGAACTTGGACGTTGGCTGAGAACCCTGATAAAGGGAACAAAAGCTGTTTGAGAAGAAGAGAGAGAAAAAGAGAGAAAGAGAGAGAGAGAGAGAGAAAGAGAACAAGAGAAATATTGAGAAAGAAAAATTGAGAAGGAGAGAAAATGAGCTCCTTTTTGATGAATCCATCCGCCGGCGGTGGCTATCATCACCATCATCAGCATCAACAGCCGGCGGGTAGTCATCATCTAGCTGCTAGTTCGGTTATGGTCGATCCAAAGTTTCCACCGAGTGAAGAATACAGTCAGAGTAACTACATACCTTCTACTGGTGCTGACTTCTTCTCTGGCAGTACCGCCAGCCATCATCTCAATCATCCCCAGTCCCATCAACTTCAATATGGCTATCACCAGCACCATCATCAGGCTGCAACAACTCCGTACGGAGCATCATCGGCTGTTCAACTGAACGGTGGTTATGCCGGATACGGAGGATATTATGGGCCACATCATCCTCATCACCAGGTTCACGCTGTCCATCATGCAAGTTTGCATCCTCATCATCACGCTGTTGGTGCCCTAGCAATGCCACCAGAAGCACAGCAACCACCTCACACGTGTCCATCTTCGATGCAAGCACCGCAACAGCAACAACAACAGCCACCAGTCACAGCGTCTACAGTTCTCGGATCGACTCCCTTATCGCCGTCCATTATGCAAAATCACGTGCAACAGCAAGAAGCTATTCAGCAACATCAACATCAACAACAAAATCAGCAACAACCACACGACGGCAACGTTTGCAGTCCAGCAGGTTCTGGTTCGTTGCATCGGGACAATTCACCGGATCTTCAACAACAATCTACCCAACAAACTCAGCATATACAAAATGCACAGCAGCAACAACAACAATCGCAACATCAGCAACAACAGCAGCATCACGTAGACGATGGATCCGATCAAGACGATGTTGAAGACGATCAGATGATGGACGGCTCGCCTGGTATGATGGAGGAAGAAGATGATGACGAAGAAAATGGAGATCGTGTCATCTATCCATGGATGAAAAAGATTCACGTTGCTGGTGTAGGTGAGTTCAATGTTTCATAACATCAATTAATATCGATTCAATAACAAATTTTTTCATTTTGTATACGAATTACAATTGTACATTTTGTAAATGTTTATTGCTTTATATATATAATAGATATACTAGGTAGTATAGCAACGAATATCATTATGATCGTCCGTCGGATACTGAAAAATGTGGATAAATAATTTAACTATTTTATTATTTCTATTAATCTCTAAAAATGATAATTTTCTTTAATTTCAAAATCTTAACTTTATCTTTTATATATATATTTTTTTTTATTTCATTTTATAACACAATCGTCATTCACGAAAAATTATTGAACAATTGTTAAATAATATTTTAATCCTTTTAAAATTGTTTTTCATTAATGATTTGAATTTACCAAATTAATTATACCTGAAACATATTCTTTTTTCATTTTCAAAGAAAGAATTTTATGGATCATAAGAAATTTTATGGAACTTAAAAAAAATTTTATGGAGCATAAAAAATTGAAAAGGAAAACATTGAAAATATTTACAGGTACAGGGTGTTAAGTTAATCTATATTGAACCTGTTCTACAAATTACATAGATCCAAAATAGGGGAACTCTATTGTTGAAAATTTGTATGTACACCTTACATTATGCTAGTACAATAATTCTTCTTGCGAACTTCGAAAGATATATGGATATAAATTTATCGTATACTTTACGACAAATGTGTAACCTGTATAAGGGACACAGCAGTATAAAAGTAGATTTTGTTACGCCTGATGTATCAATATATCTTATGTCCTACCGAACGTAACAAACTATTGGGGAGTGAATAAAAGAAATTCATTTTTTTACATTGATAATTTATTACTATATATGAAACGTAAGTTGAAAGTAAAGAAAAAAAAGAAAAAAAAAAAAAAAAAAAAAAAAGAAAGAAGAAAAAAAAAAGAAAAATAGAACTAAAAATTGTACAACTTTCATTATAATATGCAATAAGAAAGAGGATATACAAATTCAAATTTCTTTTTATTTTCTGATTATTTGCACATTAAAGAGAAACTAAATATTATTCTTACGATTGATACGTCTTCATGATCGCGTGTCATCGTTGTTTTAATTGTTTTAAAAAAATATTTGGAAGTCATAGAAAGAGAAAAACTTCCGTGTCATGTTTCTCTTAGCCTCTAAAGGCGTTTTCTTCGACGAAAAAAAAGGAAAAAGAAAAAAAAAAAAAAAAGAAAGAAAGAAAGAAGAAAAAAAGAAAAAACGAAGGCATAAGGAGATAAATTTTTGCAACGTAATATTTTTTGCTGCTACTAGGGTACCTTACCAGGTTCAAATTTCTATTCCCTTTGACCGTATAAAACCGCTGCTCATTCTAACTTGCAACTATTTCCCTTTGAGTTTCTTTTGACTGGTCTAGGTTGCCGGGAACACGAACGGCAGGCTTCGTGCATTGGCATAAAGAAATGGTACGAGAAAATCGAAACAACTCGTTGACTTTACGAAATGATTCGATATAAGCGCACTGTACGTAGAAAATTATTTTGAAATTAAATTAGATCAATATTTCAAATTACGAATATCTCCATTTGCTTCAATTCGATGTCCATGTTTTTTCTTTGCTTCTTTTTTTTATTTCTTTTTTTTTTTTTTTTTTTTTTTTTAGTTATCAATAGAAGAGTATCAATTTGTGTCATTAATATTAATTAAATAAAATTCAATTGAAATTTGTTCCTATATATAAATTCCTTTAACAAAAAGTTATTTAGACAATAGTTGATACGATTTATTTGTCACTTAATTGATGACTGTCTCTTAATGTTGTATAAAAAGAAAAAAAAAAAAGAAAAAGAAGAAAAAAGGGAAAGAAAAAGAAAAAAAAGAATACTCCGTTATACAGAAGAAAATGAGTAAAATATTTGTTCCGTTAGATTAATTCACGTTAAAATACTTACCTCGATATGCTTGAATAAGCAATATACATATATATTCATTATTCCAATAATCGCGTGTACGCTTCATCGAAGATGCCAGATTAATTAATTGGACATATAAAATGCGTACGAATAACGAACGAAATTCTAGATATAACATTGATAGAAAATTTATAATGAATTATTTGTAAGAGTTAAAAAAAAAAAAAAAAAAAAAAAAAAGAAAAAGAAAAAGAAAAAAAAAGAAAAAAAAGAGAAGAAAAAAAAAAAGAAAAAAATAAATAAATATCCCAAATGTTCTTTAAATTTTACAAAAGTGATTGATTTTAGATTGTAAGAAAAATACGATCGTATAATTTATTTATATTACGATCAATGTTATTATATTTACTTGATGCTTGAAATATACATTGATATTTTTCATAATATTTCTATATCAACGTTCAAGTGCCTTCGTGCTTGCAGTATATAACGTTGTCCGTCGGAACAGACAGGACTGCAATCTCTATCCTTCGAACGTCGTTCACTGGACGATGGAGTTTCGAGGGACCATGAGAAAGAGAGAGAAAGAGAGAAAGAGAGAAAGAGAGAAAGAGAGAGAGAGAGAAGAAGAGAGCAACGGTCAGTCTCGGAATGGAATGTGTCCGTGCACAGATTCTAAACCAGACTCATTCCCTTGTTTTCTATATCGGATCGGACCACCAACAAACATTTCCTAGAAGGGAACCCGTTTGGGTTCTTGTACGCGATATTGGCGAAATATTTCTTCCCGTATCGATAATCGACAATCGAACGTCCAACAAGAGCTTGTTCATCTACATTATTCTTCTTTTTTCTTCATTTTTCATCTTTTCTCAAGACTCGTCTCGATCTATCCTATCTACTTCTTCTAACTATTATATTATAGATACAGGTGATCAAATGATATAACTATATATCCCTTTTTCTTTTTCTCTCTCTCTCTCTTTTTTTTTTTTTCTTTGGTTTAATAATCTCGAAACGACGTATTATCTATTATCGTTATCTTTATCTTTGCTTATAGTATCACACCGAGATCATGAATTCTAGACACTAACGAAGTATCGGGAGACGCTTCTCCATTTCTCAACAACTCTCTCTCTCTCTCTCTCTCTCTCTCTCTCTTCTTTTTACTCGTGCGAAAAAGAGACCAAAAGATCTCCGGAAGCTATATAGAGAAACGGAGACTCCGTTCGAGATTCGCGTTACACAATTTTCTGCTTATTATGCGGTGCTCGTCCTTTTCACTCAAGCAACGCTATACTAGCGACGTTAGTTTATCCAACGTCTATGCGTACGTATGTAACTACACGTAGATAGGTAGATATAGGTAAGGTATATGCGCGTTTCTTGTTCTTCGGATAACAGCAGAGTCGTTTCCATTAATAGCACGGTGTCATACGCGAGTGAATGCGAATAATGCTCGTATGACTACGTTGTTCTCTGGTTTCTTCCCTTTCTATACCTCACTCTCTTTCTCCTCTCTCTCTTTCTTTCTTTCTCTTTCTCTATCTCTCTGTCTCTTTCTCTTTCTATTTTCCTTTTTTTCTTTCTCTTTCTACTTAAAACTCTTTGTTCGAACGGAAGACAGTATTATTCCATTGACGTCCGCTTTTCACGACGAATTTCATCAGTGAAATCATTTAAAGGCTCATATATATATATATATATGCCTGTGCGTGTGTGTGTGTGTGTATATGTGTACGAAATTAGAGTGAAAAGATATCGAAAAAGTTGGAAGATTTTTTTCTCTCAATTTTCTTTTTAAATGGGACCTAATGAAAATTGAAGATCGTACTTAGTCGAGGAAAGAAGGTTTAAAATAGGTATTATTATGGATTCTTATTTGTTTTGTTATTTTTATATATCACGTAATAGTTTCAATGATTAATTAATCCGAAACAAGTTTTACATACGAGCTCCTTATACCGTTTTTGTTTGATTTAAAATCGCCTATGATATGTATTATTTAATGATATATGTGATTACTTTTTTTAACGATATGCATCGGATAGAAGAGAAACCATTTCAACTCATCTTAAATCGATTATAAAGAGGTTCGAGATTTATCGAGATGAATGAAAAAAAAAGAAAAAAAAAATCTGAGAACTATAATTTTCACGAAAGAACTATAACAGATTGCACCTATGCGTTTAATTATTTTCTTATGATAGATCTATTGAATTAATTTGTTTCAAATATCAATCGTTTTTCAAAGATTAAAATAATGATAAGAATTCATTGATGTGATTATATCAAAGAATATTGTAAATAAAGTCTAGAAGAAATTCGAATGGCTCCATAAGTATCTAAGGTCTTTAATAACTTAAGTACCATGGTCAACATTCGAATGATGCCCCGTCCGTCGTCGTTCTACCACTAACGATGTTAATTGAAACAATATCCAGTGACGTAACTACTTACAACGGTCAGTCTTCGATCGAAGAACTTATTAAAAGTATTCGGTAGGATTGAAATAACGATATTCCTTTAAGTAACAATAATAAGTACTAATATATCTTTGAGGATAAAATCAAAATTCTTTGAATAAAAATATTTAAAAATCATATGATTTTGATTGTATTACGTATAATATAAAATCGTTCGATTGTTTCATGCAAAAAGATTAAATATAAAATTGAAATAATTCTTCGTATCTCCCGATGAATATTATTCTTTTCTGTTAACATTTTTGAGATCATAGAAAAATATCGAAGAATGATGTTGGTGAAAAGAGAGAAAAGAAGAAAAAGCAAGAATAGTAACCGTGTATCGATCTGTTTCTTTCAGCGAATGGTTCTTATCAACCTGGAATGGAGCCAAAGAGGCAGAGGACCGCGTACACGCGACACCAGATCCTGGAGCTCGAGAAAGAGTTCCATTACAATCGTTATCTTACGAGAAGGCGGCGGATCGAGATAGCCCATACATTGGTACTGTCGGAGAGACAGATTAAAATTTGGTTTCAGAATCGACGTATGAAATGGAAGAAGGACAATAAGCTACCGAATACGAAGAACGTTCGTAGGAAGAACGCGAATGGTCAGGTCTCAGCAACAACGACTACTACGAAAACAACGAAGGGTACCAACAATAGAACGAAAAGTGTCTCCGCTGCTGCTGCAGCTGCCGCCGCTGCTGCTGCCGCTGCTGCTGCTGCTTCAGCAAATGGGAACAACAACAATGGACAGAGGAAGAACAATAACAATTCACCTTCCAGTGGTTTAGACGGTAACAATTTGGAGACTGGAGTTGGCCTCGATATGGGTGACGTTCACGGTGTCAACTCGTCTCTTCCTCATCCGAACGTGGTACATCCGAGCTTTCAAGGTCACCCTCATCCTCTCGCCCACCTACAAGCACAGCTGAGTCACCATCACGTGGCGGCTGGAATGATGGACGGCCCAACAACGATCGGGCCAACGATCGGACCTACGATCGGTCCTACGATCGGTCCTACGATCGGTCCTACGGGTGGACCAATGGGACATATGTCTTCCGGGAGCATCAGTCCACTTGCACCGGCCACCAGTCCTCCTGGACTCTCTCAAGTATCGACCTCAGTTGTCCCACCGCCACCGATAAAGTCCGATTATGGACTTACCGCCCTGTAACACCCGCTTACTGAACAGAATCACGATCATCGAATTTACTCTATTGGTGATTTCGACTACGATCTCGCGGTTGGGACCTGAAGTCGATTACTTATTTTCAATTTTTAAATAATACTTCCCTTTTTTTTCGAATTATGGGATTTATCGTTATTATTTTTTGTTTCTTTTCTCTATTTTCTTTTTTTGTTTCCTTTTTGTTTTTTTTTTTCTTTTTTAAATCACTAAAGAAAACAAAAATTCCGAGATTCGTATGGAGAATCGCAAAAATAAGCAACGCGAGATGGAGCTCGTATTTTTCGTAAATATTATTCCGAGTTGCAAATCACTTGTTGATTTATTATTGTTGTTCTACGAAGTATCCAAAAATATTTGGTGGATAATTAATGTGTATCAAATGGAAGACATCAATTGTTATAGATTTGATCAGACTCTCAAGATATAATTCTTCGACGGTAAGATATCTATTATTTTGAAATTCAATTTCGAGACTTAGTTATTGATGAAATGGACAACATGAAAAATATCATAAATATGATATTTCGAAATAGCCTAATCATTCTATTGTTTCTCTTCAACGTGCCATCGCGCTTGTAGTCAACTACTACTTACTTACTTAGCTTCTTTCTTGTCTCATTCTGCGATATCCAGAAGTACATGTTCGTAATCATTTCCATAAAGACATCGCAAAGGTGACATTACGTATGTAAATGTACATATATATAGCCGACATATTTGTACATATTTGTGTAAAGAATAAATATAATATCGAGTGCGTGACGCAGCGATCTATGTTTCACATATTCTTATTCTTATTATTAATTATTGTATGATTGTATGATTTTAGAGTAATAAATCGTGTTAAGTCGTCAAATGAAAGAAAAAAAATTGCGAATTGATTGTTATTATTATAGAGACGTTTGCTTCAGCTCGTATTAGATAATAACCGGTTCTTATCTTCACAACCATAACGAGAATTACGGCTTCCGACACCGAAATTACGCGAATCTGTGTTTATTAAATGGTCATTTGAAATATTAAAAATAAAAAAAAAAAAAAGAAAAAAAAAGAAAAAAAAAGAAAAAAGGAAAAAAGAACAAAAAAATGAAAAATTATATAAATGAAACAAAAAAAGTCAAACAAAAAAAAAATAACTAAATAAAAAGAATATAAAAATCGAAGCAACGACGACTATTCACCAGTATTTAACCTTAAATATGTTTAAACTTAATACCTAACTTTTAATAACGTCGACTCTCAAAGTTGAGCCTAGATTCAATCGGTCGATACATTATCGTTGTCGTCGTTGTCAGTAAAACCGTGAAAACCGTGCCGATCGCGAGTTCCATGAATACTCATACAAAGCGATATACCGTATCGATCCAATGTCATACAAATTTAAAACTTCCGGCCGAGTTATCTCCCTCCGATAATAATCGCGTGTCTTACGTTCGAGCAGTTCTTTGTCCTTGCCGCTAAAAGTTTCAATAGAAAAGAAAAGACGAGCGAAATAAAAAAGGAAAATAGAAAAAAGACAAAAAAAAAAAGAAAAAAAAAGAAAAGAAAAAAGAAAATAATATTCATTGAGATTCATGGATCATTTTTCGTTCTGTAGAAATAAAAAAAAAAAAAAAAAAAAAAAAAAAAAAAAAAGAAAAATCACTTGTAAATACTATCTCGAATATAATATATAATATTAGGTCGTCAAAAGTTTTTTTCGTTTTTCGAAATACTGGCAGTTAAAATTGCTGGGTGAAAATGCCGAAAAAAAACTTTTTGGACAACCTAATATAATGTCTATTTTTATTGAAAAAACGCGCGAGGAATCGACCAATAACGAATAGGATGCGATTATGTGTTCGACGAAACCGGGAAAACTGATCGGGAAGAAAACTGTATTATTATTATTATTATTATTATTATTATTATTATTATTATTATTATTATTATTATAATTCTTTTTTATCATTATTACGATTACGATTAGATTATGATTATGATTATTATTATTATTATTTTTTTTTTTATTATTATTATTATTATATGAGTAGTAATCAAACGATTTATGCACAGAGTTGCTGTGACGATATACCAAAACGATACTAACTAATAAATAGTTGATAAATAAAGTAGATCGTACATGTATTAAGACACGTTAATTCTAAACAATGACAGAAGTACATAGTATATATAAAGATATATATATATATATGATACGAGACGTTTAGTGTAATCGGCGTTGATAAGCGATAGATGTATGAGAAATGTTCTAATAAGTGTGACATTATACTTCATATTATATGATGTATATATCTTGTATGATAAGAATTTAATCGGGCACACACTCCAATGCTTATGTTTATATTGATTATTGAGTCAATCAATTACGATCGTGAAATAAATGAATAAATAAATGTTTCGTAATTTACAATATAATCCCGTGTTTTCGCCAGACCTAAAAAAAAAAAAAAATAATAAAAAGAAAAAAAAGAAAAGGAAGAAAAAGAAAAGAAAAAAAAAGAAAACAAAAAAACGAAAAAAAAAGAGGAAGAAGAAGAAAAATGGAAACAGAAAAAAAAAGATTAATGGAAATATAAAAGCTATTTTTTTTATCATTGAAATTATATTATAATATACTACTATATTTTTAACTATTTTAAGATGGTGAACAGAATTTTACTTTCCACGTATTTCAAAATTTGCAAGTCTAATGAATTTTAACTTTTCATAACGTTAAACTTCAGGATCGACGACACGATAAAGTTTTCACACTTCTAAATTACGGACAGCACGTATCGTAAAAATGAAATCAATAGATTATACAGAACTTATGACGATACTTTCTATTCGTCATGATTTATGCAAAAATATGTGCACTTATTTGCGGCATTATCGCAGGTACGTTGCAACGTGATAACTGCACGATTGTGTTTATATGACTAAAAGAAAAACACATAACATAACAATCGTTTCTACATGAATTCAACGCTACTTGAAGAATGCAATTTTCATAATTTGCAATCATAATAATCAAAATGATTTATTATACTCCATCGATGAATAATTTTTCTCATTCGCCATTGTGCTAATCCTATTTCTAACGAAGGTAATTAATCGCAATATAATTGTCATAGTTGTCAAAGAAACAAAACATCATAAGTATGGAATATACGCTTATGATAACTAAAGAATTTTACAAATTATTAATTCTTAGAATTTCGAAAATCGTGTTGAAGGAATATCATAGTTGTTATTGGCATAGTTGATTATATTCCATCAATGTATAGATTTCTTTTTCCTTAATAACTATAATTTTTAATAAATCAAAATTAATCACTGTCAAAGTTACATAATATAAGTGTTAATTTTTCGATAACATTAATCAATAATTTTTCGTAAAAAGAAAAAACTTTCAAATGAAATTATACAAAATATTTTACTTTGGGCATGACAGAAATATGACTGATTCTTAATAATTCGAAAGTTAATATTATCGTTAGAAAATTGCGATCGACGTAAATAAATATAATGTATCCAATACCGTCGTTTTTAAACAAAAATAAAAAATTAAAAATTAAAAAAAAAAAATATAATAATAACAATAATAATAATAATAATAATAATAATAATAATAATAATAATAATAAAACGGAGTAAGAAATACGAGAGGAAAAAAAATCGAGGCTCTCGTTGGTATCGTCGAAAGCTCGACGTTCCCCATTTCTCCTGGCAGAATTTCTCTCGCTCGAATCGTCTGCTTTCGCTTCCCACTCCTTCCCTTATGGAGGCAGGATGTATATATATATATATATATATATATATATATATATATATATACAAACACATGTGTATGTTTGCACGAAACATGTGTGTGTAAGATATATTATATTAGTATATGGATACTATATAGGTATATATATACATGCGTGTGTGTGTGTGTGTGTGTTTGAGGATGAGACAGAGGAGAGGCAGGCAAGTTAGTACGCATGCGCGAGCACGTGCGTTGAAGCTCGGCCCGGGGGATATCCCAAGGCGAGTAACGTGGCTACAGCCGGAGGCCGGAGGGGTGGTACCTGTGAAGAAAAGTGGGGGTAAAGCATCGAGGCTCTGCCTCCGCCCATACGGCCGAGATAAGCCGCGACCGGACTCGAAAGTCCGGCGTGCCCCTTTTTACGTCCCTTACTTGCTGCTCTTCCGACTTCAATCGTCTCTCTTAGAAAATATTGAAAACGCTTCTCGACTCTTTCTATATCTTTCTTTCTTTCTTTCTTTCTTTCTTTCTCTCTTTCTTTTTCATTTTCCCCTTTTTTCTTTAGGGAAAAAATGACGAAAAACTAAAGCAATAACTTTTTAAACTTCTCATTTGAAATGAAAATCATTTTATGTATGTATATATATATATATATATATATATATATATATATATATATATATATATATATACATAAATGTATACAACGTTTATTTAATACTAAATTTTAACAAGTTAAATTTGTATAAATGTATCGAGAAATAATATTGAACGTTCGTTATAACATTCTTTGTTCTTTTATCAGAAGCATGACTTTTTATTTAACGCCTTTCAAGCGTTTTATTATAATTAATTATAGTATATTGCTGTTGACGTTTATGAAAGCGTTGACCGCCGAGCCAATTTTGCAATCGATTGTTCCCTTATTTTCTTTCATAGATATTATTTACCCCATATCTTTTTTTAATCAAAATATATAATATATAAGTAATATAATATATATATATATATTATATTTTGTTTCTTTTGCATAAAATTCGATTGGATTTTTTTAATGACATTTATTAATATCTATAATATATCGAAGACAGGTCAGCGTGACATTTTCTGATTAGTAAACTGTACAACGAACTATCCTGTATTCGTGGTATTTCATTTAATTTCTCAGAAAAAAAAATGTGATCGGTATGGCTTGATACCATAGAGAAATTAATTTCATCCTTCTAAAATATATATAATATAGATAGGTATATTATAATTTAATAGTGAACTTTAATAATTGTATATTTGAAAATATACAATTATTAAAGTTCTAATAATTGTTCTAATTAAGTATATTTTCCAAATATCACGTTGTTTCATTTATTACGTTATTAACTTTATCTCGTTCATCTTATCGAACCATTTTATTGATCATATTATTCTATATGTAATTATCGTAAAATAGCTTGTCTCTAAAGCATCTTTGCGGGTAGCTTAAATCAAGGCTCTCTCTCTCTCTCTCTCTCTCTCTTTCTCTCCCTCTCTCTCTCTCTCTATCCCTCTTTCGCTCGTTCCTCTCTCTCTCTCTCTCTCTCTTTAGACAAGAAGGAAGGAAGCGTACAAGGATCATTAATTGCAATCTCAATAGACTGTCTAGGACTATCCACGCGACGTGCATGGACCAAGAACACTGACTTCCGGGAATGAGGGCCCTCGCGAGCCATTCTAGAATATGTGGGTTAGATTAAACGCGTCGTTATAACTTGGACAAAGCATTGTTCTTAGAAACTATCTTGGAGTTTATACGTTAATTCTGAACAAAGTTAATATACGTAGGCAGAGTTATACGATATATTATATATTCCTTTCTAATCGATATTTATAAACGAACGTTGGAACTTTTATTAATTTCAATTAAATAAAAATATTTAAATTTTGATCTAAATTCGAATAATTCGTGGAAAAACTTTTATAATGTAACGTATTGTAAAATTAATATCTAATGATATAATTTACTTTTATTTAATTTAATTTAATTTAATTTAATCTAATATATTGCGTTTGAAACGCTTGAAAGAATTTATATTGCATAGAAAAATTTAAATGATAGGTTTTTCAAGATCGTAGAAACGACAAAGAAAGGATATCCTTTTTTGCCTTTCATTGTTTTTTTTTTTTTTTTTTTTTTTTTTACATCGTCGTTAATACAATGTCTATCGTATGTGTATGTTCATGCAGATTCGAAAATGAATGTACGCCATCGTTCAAAGCTTTGGACTCTACAATACACGGATTTTCGCTATTCCACGTAGTTGCATTCTCTGTGACCTTACTTTCCAAACAGCAATATGACAAATGATCCATGCGGTCTGCTCATTTTCTACATATCCGTTCCACAATCGCTCCATCTACATACCGTGCGTGGCTCGATGCGAAGTCGTGAAGCGGGTGGTCGCTTCCAGATTGTTTTGCGAACACCTAGATCAAAATGGGGCCATACCGGACACTGATCGTTTCTCTTTTTTTTTACTTTGATCATGTTTTATATCTCACATTTTTCGTGCATAATACATAAATAAATACTAGGAAAATAGATATAATTACAGAAATGATATTTACTTATAAAATGATTTCAACATCTAATAAAATCGTATTGTTAAATCATGAAATAATTAAAGACATTGATAATTAAGATATCTAAGTGAAATAGAATTTATGTCAAGTCATCAAATAGTTCATCAAAAAATATAGATCGTAAAATATAAGAATAATGTTAAAAAGAATCGGATTCGAGATCTACGTGAAGCTAAATGAAAATTTAAGAAAAAAACTAAAAAAATCTATTGATAAAAACTCTTTGTTGTAGCTCGAAAAATATTGTTAAAAAAATGGTATGATTCGAGTTTGATGAGGATATGAATTTATTACAAGAACGAGAGATTACATAATGAAACTTATAAAATAATGATGAAGTTAAATATAATATTAAAAATAGTACATCATTTTAATACGCAATTGTATTTATCTAACTGTTGTTATTTTATATGTTTAATCATATATGTATCTAATATCAGTTTCAAACCATAAAGTCGAAAATAATACCGACGGCTGAACAAAATTGTAAATTCAGAAAATAATGATAGATCTGGTGTGAACGATCCTCATTAGATGTAATTGGAAGGGATTAACGAGTCACGGCTCCATTTATCA